ACCCAGCATGACTGGCTGGGGGATTTTGGGAGTTTAAATCCACTCATCTTAAAGTGGCCAGGTTTGGACAACACTGACTTAGCAGGACCTGAGAGGCTGCAGATGGTGAAGCTAAAGGTGGTACTTGGGTGTCTACAGGGAGGAGGTCAAAAAATCCCCTTTTTACATTTACATGTGTTATGTGCAGGGGGGCGGGGTTGGCAGTGGCTTTACTCTAATGAACAAATGTTCATTCCGTTTGTTCGCACTAACATTTTAATTGTATTTTCTTTCTCGTTTCAAAAATAACATAAACAGCCTTATGAGCATGCCTGCTGGAGTTGGCATGCCCCCTAATATATAAATCAGTGTTGTCCAAACTTGGTCGCTTTAAGATGAGTGGATTTCAACTCCCAGAATTCCCCAGCCAGCATGGGAGTTGAAGTCCACTCATCTTAAAGCGGCCAAGTTTGGACAACACTGATATAAAGCAATAACTTTCAATTGCAAATAAATGTTTAACATGTAGTTTTTTATGTGTATCCTACTCTACTGCTAATATGCTCAAGACGGCCTACAGTACACAGTCCTTTTCCTGTGCCATTTTATTCTTTTTCAAACATTCTACTGCGAATTTTAAAAGAGAAATGCGAAGAAAACTCTATACTGTGCCATTGTATTCTTTAAAGAATTCTACTGCAATTTTTAAAAAAGAAATCCAAAGAAAACAATATACTGTGAGGTTTTATTCTGTCTACACTCCTATGACATAGGTTAGGGGGAGTTCGTGACTACTCAAAGCCAGCCTTTGACCACACAGTTATAGTTACCAACTTGATTTTTTTTACCCCCTTTCCTAGTTTCCACTGTCCCTGTCCAACATGGCCCTTGGAAGAGTAGTCCAACTCTTAATGGAACCATGTGGAGTAAGAATGTTCTGACCACCAGGTAGGACTGCTCCAGTAACTCTTAAAACAATCCAACTATATGAAATCAGGGCCAAAAGGTAATTTCTTTATTTAACCCAGTGCATTCCCATGTGGATTTACCAGCCAATGAAGGAAAAAGTATTATTAAGTTTTGCAAGTACATTGCAAGAAGAAACTTGGGTCCAAGTGTGTTCGTGATGTGGCCATCAATTTTAGTTTCCTAATGCTGCTTTAAAGACTTGAATTAATTTTCTGGGTCCTTCTTTTATTCTTAAGTTGTTCAGATGTAAATAGAGATATAAAAATGTCAGTGCCCATGAGAAAAATTACCCCTGCAAAGGGTAATTTTTCAATCCTCTGACAAGTTGGGGGAAGTAATAGCACGCAAGTTTATTTGCTGTAGCCCAAAGTTAGAGATAATTAACCTGTACTTTATGAAAAGTTCACAGTTCTCAGAGAGACAGAGAATGATTTCAAAAACATTTGAAAAAGATTTGGAAGAAATATGACAGCTGTTCAAATCTGTCTTTGAGAGCATCAGTCTAAGAATCCCAGTTTGTGAATTGCCAACTGGTGAGAAAATCTGTATGCACCTCCAGTTTGGTCAGGGTTGAGTAGGTCATAAAAACTTAACAAGGAACTTCAATCAAAAGACGGTGAAGTCCATTCAGATTGCAATGAATTTGTCATCTGTTGTGTTATGGGCTTCCAGAAGAAATGGGGCAATGTCTTTCAGGAGGTCCACAAGGTTTGAATGAGAAACTAGCAAAATGTTTTCATTACTATTACATTACTATGATGTTACATTATTATGATGTGAGGGGAGATTTGCTGCAGCAGGTCATCAAGTCAGTGGCAGGCTTTGTCGTCAGTTTAGTTATCTCAGGCACGGCTCTTTAATTTTTGCTATAGGGCACATCGAAGAGCCACAAAGTTCCCACAGATTGTTCACTCTGTACTAAAGGGGAAATTTTAAATACTAGCATACTTTAAAAAGAACTAAGGGCACCTCTCACAGAGCTAAGAAGCTGCTCCTGAAGTCATATCAGACTCCTTTGCTCTCACAACATCATCCTTGGGCCAAACCAATTCTCTTCAGCAAAGTCTTTGTTGTGCAATTTGAGGAGTTAGGTTTCTGCCAATGCCTGTCCCCCAGATATAGGGCTCTCCCCCTCCTCACCCAAAAAGGAACAGCAGGATGAAAGAAGGATGGGCAGGGGTGTGTGGCCCTGACTGGTGGACATTTTTGCTCTCAGAAAGCAATGCTCTGCTTTCATGATCATGGGGAGGAAGCTGAGCCTGTGTTCCAAGGGACTGTGTGAGGACAATGTGAGACATCCTGGGATTGTTTCTAAGAGTTGGAAGTATTTGGGGAGTGAAAATGCTGGTTGGTATGGTAGATTTAACTAGATCTGATTGTTGTCCCAGTAGCTTGGCCAGCTTTCCCCAGTTTGTGGACTTTCAGAAATATTGGAACTACAGCTCCCACCATTCCCAGGGAATGCACTAGATTAAAGAAGGCTATTGTGAGATAATGTGAGAGATGGATAAAATATGTTATTATTGACAAATAGTAGCTTGAGCATACTAAGAGTGCAGCTGTGTGAGAGATAAGGAAGTAGTCTTAAGTGTTATGGTTATCAAATAGTGGT